AAATTAAAGTGGGCGACGGCTTTGGAAACTATTTTTTGTAGGAAAATTACCCTTGAAATGGATCATTTGGGTGATTTTTCTGTTTAAAATAGAGAAATGCATCAAATTAACGACGTCATATTTCCAGAATGGAACTCGTTTATGTCATATTCATTTCTGATCTATCACAGTCATAAACTAGACTAATATTTAAGTAAGTTTCAAAACTGTTTAAAAACATTTAATTTTTAAGGCACGATAAAGCTAAAACCATACCTTCTTCTTAATTCTTAAACATTCATCACGTTGTACGTAATTTTAAACATTTTATTGTCCCCCGCTTGAAAAGTGGGGGATATTAATTTGGGTTTGTCTGTCCGTCCGTCCGTCCGTCTTTCTGTCTGTAACGCTTTCGTTTCCACACGATATCTCGAGAACCCTTTGAGCTTTTGCAATGGAATTTAGCATAGCAACTCCCTATGGACTAAAGAAGCAAATTCTGTCTGTTATAATACTTCCGATTCCACACGATATCTCTAGAACCATTTGAGCTATAGCAATGAAATTTTACATAACAACTCCCTGTGGCCTCATAAAGACCCCTATTGATTTTGAGGTCAAAAGGTCAAAGTTCAAGGTCGTAAATTAACATATTCTGTCTGTTTGAAACACTATCATTTTCCGGGCGATATTTCAAGAAGATTTTGAGCTTATTCAATGTAATTTTATACAAAAACTCCCTAGGACCTCTCTCACCCCTCTCAAAGTGTCCCGTCCCGTTTGTTTTATTGGTATTTATAGTATTACATGTCGCTATTTTTAGCAAAGGGGCATGAGGAGAGTTATTGCGTATAAAACAGGTTCTGGGCGGACTTTATGTTCTTATTACATCTATTAGAACTGTTTAATAAAGGCTAAATAAATCAAACACCATGAATTGAGTAAAATTTTGACAATATCGAACATGAATATATACATGCATGTGACTTCACTTCTGCATATACTTGACTCCATGTAAAGCGAGTCCGTGGTCTAGTGGTATGTTTCTCTTGTAGCGATGGTAGCTCAGTGAGTTGGGCTATCTGATCAGCGCACACGAAGCGAAAAGTTTTAATGAAAGAGAAAACAAAAATGTGAGAGGTCCCGAGTTCAAGTCCCGGACGGCAACTTTTTTTTTTGAAATACTTTATTTTTACTAAATAATAGTATTCAGCACGCGAAATAAAAAATCTACGAGGTCTGGCTTGTACAAACTCATAAAATCATCATTACAGTGTGATAAATATTCCATATAAAAAGAATCTTCTATACACATAATAAAGAATAAGCAATTAAATCTTTATATTCATAATGGTATATTTTATTTGCTTCAGTATACATGCATGTATACATTTAATAATTCTACAAATTCAGTGAGGGGGATCTAACTCTCCCCCCCCGACTCCCCCCGAACTGCGCATGTTTTACTTTTTCCTTAAGCGGGGGACATAAATTCTCTGAATTAGCTTGTTAGTCGTTTCCTGAACACCTTTAATACATGGGTAAAATTTTGTGACCGCAACATGGAGATAGTTATACCCTACGAAGGAGAGGGGGTATACTGTTTTACCTTGCGTGCCTGTCCGTCCGTGTGTCTGTTCGTAACAGATTTTTTGGTCGCAGATTTCTCGGCAACTCATTGGACATTCATTGCTAAGGCATGCCATATGATGGGATTTATTTTTGTTCAAATCGGGTCATCTTCCTATTTTTCCGTACCATACAATCATTACAAATATTCGTTGCAGTTTTCTCTGCAAATACTCATCGCACATGCTTGAAATTTTAGCACATTCTTAGCTGAGGCATGCCATATGACGGGATTTATTGTCCCCCGCTTTAAAAGTGGGGGATATTAATTTGGGTCTGTCCGTCTTTCTGTCTGTCTGTAACGCGTTCGTTTCCACACGATATCTCGAGAACCCTTTGAGCTTTCGCTATGAAATTTTGCATAGCAACTCCCTATGGACGAAAAAAGAACCCTATTGATATTGAGGTCAAAAGGTCAAGGTTATAAATTCGCAAATTCTGTCTTTTATAACACTTTCGTTTCCGCGCGATATCTCGAGAACTCTTTGAGCTTTTGCAATGAAATTTTACATAACATCTCCCTTTGGCCGAAGAAAGACCCCTATTAATTTTGAGATCAAAAGGTCAAAGTTCAAGGTCGTAAATTTATACATTCTGTCTGTATGAAACACTATCATTTCCGGGTTATATTTCAAGAAAATTTTGAGCTTTTGCAATGTAATTTTATACCAAAACTCCCTAGGACCTCTCTCATTCCTCTCAAAGTGTCCCGCCCCGTTTGTTTTATTAGTATTTATTGTATTACATGTCGCTATTTTTAGCACAGGGGCATGAGGAGAGTTATTACGTATAAAACAGGTTCTCGGTGGACTTTATATTTTTATTACATCTATTAGAACTGTTGAATAAATGTTAAATTAGATATCATGCATTGTGTAAAATTTTGACAATATCGAACGTGAATATATACATGGACATGTATGTGACTTCATCTTTGCATATATTTTTCGCAAGTTTAAAGCGGCTCCGTGGTCTAGTGGTATGTCTCTCTCTTCACATATGAGAGGGTCCGGGTTCGCATCCCGGGCGATGAATTTTTTTTCTCGAAATACTTTTTTCTTACTAAATGATAGTATTCATGTGAAATGAAAAATTTATGAGGTCTGGCTTGTACAAACTCATAAAATCATCATTACAGTGTGATAAATATTCCCTATAAAAAGAATCTTCTATACACATAATGAAGAATAAGCAATCAAACCTTTACATACATATTGGCATATTGTATTTGCTTCAGTATACATGCATACATTTAATAATTCTACAAATTCAGTCAAGGGGATCCGACCCCCCCCCCCCCCGAACTGCGCATGGTTAACTTTTTCCCTAAGCGGGGGACACAAATTCTCTGAATTAGCTGGTTTGTGTCTATCTGTGCATCTGTTCGAACCATACATGACAAAGTCGCTGCAGTTTTTTCGAGGTTTAGCGTTTCCTGTTTTGCATTTAAATACACAAAAAACACAAGAGCCTCGTGGGCCACATCGTTCAAATGAATAGCTTTGACCATGCTGTTCTATACCAGATTCCCCCTTATAATTATACCTTTTGTTACCCCGCCCTACTCCAAGGGTCATAATTTGGACAATTCAAAATCTGGCCCAGCAGTTATTGAGAAGAAGATTTAAACAGATTTTTCCTATATAGTTCGATGTAAAACTTTGATTCCAAATTGTGGCCCCGCCCTACCCCCGGGGGTCATGATTCGAACAATATATAATCTATACTATCCCAGGATACTTTCACATAAGTTTCAGTTTTTCTGGCCCAGTGGTTCTTGAGAAGAATATACGTATTTTTTTTCAAATCCTATAAATTTCAACAAAAACTTTTTTAACGATTTTAAATTGTGGCCCCGCCCTACCTCCGGGGGTCATGATTTGAACAATTTAGAATCTACACTATCCCAGCATGCTTCCACACAAGTTTCAGCTTTCCTGGCCAATGATTCTTGAGAGGAAGACTTTCTATGTAAAACTTTGATTCCCTATTGTAGCCCCGCCCTACCCCGAGGGTCTTGATTTGAACAATTCAAAATCTACACTACCCAAGGTTGCTTCCACATAAGTTTCAGCTTTTCTGGCTTAGTGGTTCTTGAGAAGATTTTTTAATGACCAAATTGTGATCAGAAAAGCTCACTTGAGCCTTCGGCTCAGGTGGCTAATGAATCTTAAAATTTGCGTTTAATCGCAGATCATTATCACAATTAAACGACATTTTGAACTGGTATAAACGAGCATCCATTTTCAGGTGACCTGTTGATATCTTATTTCGTCCGTCGTTGTGCGTCGTGCGTTAACATTTCAACATTTTCAGCCTCATCTCTGCAACCGCTCAACCTATTTCAACCAATTTTGGCATAAAGCATTTATGGGTAAAGGGGAACAAAAATTTTGAATTTCATGGCCCTGTTCCCCTGGGGTCTGAGGGTTGGGGCCAAAACCACTAAAATTAATGCAATCTTTAAAACTCTTCTTCTCTACTCTTGGACATCAAGCAGTCAAACTGTTGGCATGATTGTAATAAGCATTGAGTCCTCTACCAAAATTGTGAAATTCATGGCCCCATGGTCAGGGGTTCTAGTGATAGGGCGGGGCTAAATAGATTATATAGTAAAAATGCATTATTTCTTTGAAAATCTTCTCTGCTCCTGGGCATTAAATAAACTAACCATGCACGTGCATATTTATGTTGAATTCAGCTGTTTCTTCCAAAATTGTGAATTTCATGGCCCCAGGGTCAGGGATTTTAGTGCTAGGGCGGGGCTATGTAGATTATATAGTGAAAATGCATGATTTCTTTGAAAATCTCTGCTCTTTGGTATAAATCAACCATTTATGATGAAATAAAATTTATGATAAAATTTCCAAAATTTTGAAATATGTGCCCCATGGTCAGTGAGTCCTGTTGGATGGGATGCACAATTGGTTATCAAGTGGGAATGCATTTTCTCTTTGTTACTCCGATCTACATGTACCTCTGGGTAATAAGTAACCAAAGTAAGCATGCTAAGTCTATAATAATGATAACCAATGGTGCCTCTTTCAAAATTGAAATCCATGGCCTCTTTTTTAAAAAACGAAACAAAGTCTATTGTTGTAAAGTTATTACATGATACTCATGTGACCTATAAGGCCCGTGGGCCTCTTGTATAAGTATATTATGTATACCAGTATATTATATATACTGAACCAGTATGTGAAAACGACATGCACGAGACATGAAAATAACATAAGTATAATTGAAAGGTATAAACATGCAATGTGTTGATTATTACTTACAATGTACAATAATTAGGCATGCTGTGCATTAATTGAGAATTTTCTTTTCTTTTTTTTCGATTTTGTGTATATAATAAATACAAAGACATTTACCTATCAATACTTTTTCAGCACCCATTACCGCTGGATTTGGCGTCCTTACTATACTGTGACAAGACGTTGTTGTCCGGGCTACTATGGCAGCAACTGCGATATCCGTATGTTATTTATACTTGTCTTCTAAGAAGAAATCTATCAACAGTTTTTCTCTGAAATAATTACTATATTAATTTAATTACATGAAGTTAAATTTTTTGCATTTAAGGACAGATGATAGAAACAAAAAATGATGCCTGGATTGACATATATTTTTTGGCCTAATTTCATTGAATATGATGCAAATAATAAATTTCTAGAACGTAAAGAAATTGTAAACCTTCTATGATGTTCAAAATTCTGTATCTCTAAAACCATCCTTATTAATCTATACAATTTTTTTTTAACTTCAAATCCCATTTTTGTGAAAATTTGAATAAAAACTTAAAAAGTAAGAGGCGAAACTTGTTCATTTTACTCATTAAAACATGACTCAAAGTTGTTATTTTCAAATTTTTTGACAAAAGTTTGTCCTTAAGGTATACCTTTACTCAGATGACCAAAAATTCCACTGATAAGAACGAAAATCCACCTATTGCACATTGTACACAAATAATTCTTGTGTTAAATTTCAATTTCAAATAACTAGGTCAATGACCTACTTTTCATGCTAGTGGCCCCTGAATATTATATGGGAAATACCTCAATTTTTCACTCTATGACCAATTTTTTCTTCACTCACAAAATATCACAAGCAACAAAACTCTTTAAATAATGAAATATTATAGCAATAGAACAGTGTTGTTTCATATAAAGAAACGATTAGAGTTTTGGCCATAAACTTGATAATTATTACAGTCCGAATTTCCTCTGTCATAGTTATATTTTCCTCCCATTTTCAATCGAATATTCAAAAAATCCGACTGATAAGAACTCTAAATTATTTATAGCCTCATATTGCCTTTGTTGCCGTAATTCTCATGGTATTAACATTATATGGGGTGAATGATCAAATTATTGAGATATGTTGCATGGAATGGTTTTTGTTCATATTTTTGAATTTCTTTATTTAATAGCATTCAATTATTTGAAATAATTTATGAGCTTTAAGACATGTAAAAGTTGTAAAATGATGTCTAAAAACACATGTAACCTTTAAATTTTGATTAATATTGCAAGAAATAAAAGATTTTGACAAAAAAGGGAAAATTACAAATTTAGTCCGAATTTCCTCTGCATTACAATACACTGACTTTTGTTCCTTTGTATTTTCTTCAAATAATAAAATTTAAAATTTTTAAATTAATATTGAGTTAAAACTTCGTAATTTTATCCATTTAGAACAGTTTTTGATATAACATATTATACTTCATAAAATTTCCTTTCTGTTTTCTGAAACCTGAGTAAACGTCATCCTTAATATTATGCAATTAGAGGATAATTAACTTGATTTTACCAAATAAACAGAGAATTAACAAAATCGTAACCTTCAATTAGTTTATTATTCATTATGAAATTAAATACCAAATGATGGAAAAAGGAGGAAATATGACACGAAATCGCAGCACGTGATGTTTGTAGAACACTGAAGCCCCTTCCCCCAATTTCCAAGGGACATAACTCTGTTAGAAATAGATTGATTGCCCAAAAAGAATCAATTGATCTTTATAGTGATTTCATTTCAGTATGCGCAACCTCTGCAAAGAAAATGAACAGAAACTGCAAATATTTGGAAATTTTCCAAGTCCAAGGGAGATAAATCAATCAAAAATGAATCGATCGTACTTAAATCAGAACGTGACCTTGACATTCTTATGATAAATTTGTATACCAAGTTTCACTTCGAAATGTGCAACCTCTGCGAAGAAAATGAACAGAATTTCATGGTAGACCGACCGACCGACAGCAGCAAAGCAAAATGCCCAGCCTTCTTCGAAGGGGGCATAATTATTGCTTAGAAAACAACTGCTTTACATTTATTTGGCATCTTAAATATGGCTAATATGTAGTTGTTATTTTTTTTAAGGGGTCACAATTACACGAATGTACACTGTACAAAAAATGGGTATAAAAAGGCAAATTTCTAAAATTGACATCAAAAGTCCTTTATTCATTTTTAGTATGCTGTGGCCAGTTTAAGGAAAATTTGTGACCACGTTCAGAAATCAAACACGAAAAAAAAGCTATTTACACAAATGAACTTGACAAATGAAAATTAATGCTGAAAGGGAGTCATGGGGGCAAACTTCTAATCAGATTAAAATTTACTTATTGCTAATTCGATTTTTTGTGTTTTATAGCAAGTTGTAGTTGTCAAAATGGAGGGACCTGTGTAGCTCCAAATGTATGTAGATGTCCAAGTGGATATACTGGAAATTCGTGTCAAACACGTATAGTATTTTTCTTCCGAATATCACAAATTAAATAATATATGTTTTCATTTAAAATTTCTCTTGTGTAGAAGTAACCTTTTCTCCATACAATGTTTACAGCAATATGCCCTGGTGGGTGCCGGAATGGTAACTGTGCGAGTCCTAACTATTGTAGATGCTATGGAGGATATTCAGGAACTGACTGTTCCACTCGTAAGATCATCTAAATTAATAAAGTGGTGATTTCTTTACGTCCCAATTTCAATTTCCACAGGGGCCTGTAACATACTGTATTTGATTTTACGTAATCACTATATGTATACAAAAAGAGAAAGGGAAACAACGTCAGCTTGAATTTACACAGGGTCGATTTCGGAAATGACTCATGTTTTCAATAAAATACCTTGCAGTTAGTGAATTACGTCTGGGATCATTCAGTAATAATCACTCTTTAATAAAAATACCATCGCGGTCATTTAAGAATCGTGTAAGTCGTGTTTTGCAGATCCGATATCCTGTCATGCAAGTGATGTAGTCAAAGTCGTCCACTAAATTCGCTAAACATTGCATCCAATATTTAACGCGAGATGTGATTGGTCAATGGTGCTTTTCTAGAACAGATCTGACCAATCACGCTCCGCCTTTTACCAATCATGGGTTTTTCCAAAATGTTGTTCTGGGCTCGAGCCTCTCTCTGTGAACAAAAAAGCTACCGTTTTTATTCAAATCGGAGATGTTGTACCTTTTAATTACAGTTAACAAAAGAAAAAGATGATTTTCGTGAACGCTGGATCTTTACTTTGTGTTTTCCATCTCCGGAAAGACTTCAAAACTGGAGAAAATGTGCGAATTTTGCCTCGTTTTAGTGGACGACTTAAAGTACATCGACTCGCACAACGGGATATGGAGTTAGTATTACCCAACTTAAACGCTATAGAAAGTAACGAGGTTTCTGTTTTATTTAAGAATATTTATTGTAGTATGATTTCTAGTTATAATTTAATTGGCTACATTCTTTTTTCTATGAAATACGAAATATTTCCGAGATCGACCCTGTGTAAATTCGGGCTGACGTTGTTTCCCTTTCCTTTTTGTGTATATATATATATATATATATATATATATATATATATATATATATATATATATATATATATAAAGAAAAAAACGACAACACAAGTTGTAAAACGTTAGCACTTTCATTCAAATTCTTCAGACGTTTTACTTTGAACATTTGACGTTAAAATGTTATGGTACCATATATATATAACATGGCGAAAGCGCTTGCAGTAAATGTTTTGTGAACATGGCGAAAGCGCTTGCAGTAAATGTTTTGTGATATTTTTGGATTTTTACTTTTAAATATACCAAAAACTGTACCGATTCTTCATTTTGTTTTGAAATTATATATATATATATATATATATATATATATATATATATATATATATATATATATATATATATATATACACACTGAACCAAACTTCTAAGTGTTTACCTAACATTTTTTAAGTTTCTAAGAACAAATGCATACAATGAATTATATCTTTAATTCATGGCTAATGATGTATATTTCAGTTCGATGTTGTGTAAATTTCATGTAAGTATCTTGTAAGAATTTTTAAGCAAAGTGTCAAGGAAATGATGTACCCTCAAAATGAAAATTCACACAAAAAAATTTCGATTGAGTAAGACCCACTACTCGCTCTTATTACTACAAGACAATCTTCATTGTTGGATACCATGTACCCCTGAATAGGAGATTGACCCATCTGCTGCCACACGTACATGTACTGCATAGATCTTTCCAAACCATTGAAATTGTGAGGAAAAAAAGGGGGGGGGGCTTTGACATTTCTTTTAAAATCCCAAATGTGTTTAATGGGATTCAGATCCGGGAATTTGACAGTGTATCGTCACGCAGATGCCTTTTTAGTCAATATCCTTGGGTGTTTAGCATGTAAATGCGCCGCTTTAAGGATAATTCAGACTGCTTGAGCTGATATAAGACTGCCACGAGCACCGATTTCTTATCATTTTCGTACGATTGAAATGGTTTGTTTCCATGTTTCTTAGATTTTTTCAGGACACTTTAACACTCTTTTAACCCTGTGTGACGCGAAATTTTCTCCTCAGGAAAAGATCAAGGTCACTTCAGGTGTGGTTAAATTTTGTCAAAAACTTTCAAATTGTGACAAATTAGCGATGAAAAATGATCACAGCCTATAGAAAAATGGGTTTAAATGGGTTTTGATACTGTCTGATAATTTTTAAAAGTAATATCAAGTACAATGAAGCACTAAAGTAAAAGTGAGTAAAACGCTGTGTAAAGATGGTCCAGATATCAACATTCCAACGGCTCTACCTTCTATCTCAATGGTCATTTTGCCAATGTTTTGTGTTTTTCAGTGAAATAAGTTTTTAAAATTTGATAATGATCACAAAAAGATGCTTATTACACAAAACACGTGCCGCAAAGTACAGATTTATTGTTTTTAAGCCTCGTCACGGAACATTGGTTTTCATCGGTGATATTGAATTTTCTTTCTACAATTGTTGAGAAGACTCATTTGTTGTAATAATTTGAAAATATACCATTCTATGCAGTAGTTTTTAAATAAAGACATTAATTAAAGTGAACACTTAGAAGTTTTGTTAAGTGTAAATATATATATATATATATATATATATATATATATATATATATATATATATATATATATATATATATATTGATTAAGTAAAAACAGTATATTACCGGCCCCTGTGTCAATTTCCATGTCCTCCAATTAATTAATATAATCGAAGAAATTAATATTTAGTATACGTGGTTAAAGAAAATAATTTGAATTGAGCTCAAAGAATATGCATGCATATTTTGCGTTTTCAAGTGTATTGAAATTGTATGCGCATACATGCGCGGTAAAATACAAAATAGAAACCCCATACAATTTCAATACACAAGAAACAGCAAAATATGCATGCATATTCTTTGAGCTAAAATCAAATAAAGATAAATTTAATTAATTATGGAAAAATCATATTGAGAGAAAAATTCGTCACGAAGACAGGACGGAGCGGAGTCTATTTTTTAATCATCAAAATTCCTCTCATGTTCAAACTCGAGAATAGCTAATCTTACTTAGAACTTTGTTAATCAAATCAATGAATCATAACTAGAATTATGCCTGATTTTTTTAAGTTTAAATGTTTATTTTGTAAAAGTGCAAGGATATGTCAATCAAGCACGTCCCGAAATTCACAGTTTCATTATTTTCCAGATTGAACTAGAGGTACTGTGAGCAATGAGCTCACTAAATGATACCCCCGCCTCCCATATGAATATTATGGCAATGTCCATGTTTTGTTGTGGGAAACCCAAAATATTTTTCGGATCGAAAAGTAAAATAAGAGGTGCACAACGGCAACATGTACTAGTAATAAAGATTCTATGAAAGTTTCATCAAATTTCATTCAGTGATATTAGAGGAGTTGAGGATAAGAGATGGGTACCCCAAAGAGTAACAGACTGACGGACATACCGATTACTATATACCCTCCCTCTTTTCAAGCAGGGGGTATAATGTTTATTATATTTCCGTGTGAAATGCTACAGCATTATACATAATAAACCGAAAATTATAGAAAATATGTATTTCAGATTTGTGTCCAGGCAACTTTAACTATTACATGTATTTTTTTCCCAGTAAATATTCATATAAATTTATTTTCTCTGTAATTTACACACAGGTCATTCATACTTCCGACTTGAAGATGCAAGTAAAATCTCTCTTTTTTGTGCAACATTTATCTTAATTTAGATATTGAAATTATAAATTTAATATTGTTAACATTGTTAATCAATTGTGCAACTGCTACAGTACGTCTTCATCATCATAAAAGGACTGGTGCTATTCATGAAAAAGGTATTTTTCTTTTAAATTCCATGGATCATTATACCCCCCGCTTGAAAAGCGGGGGGGGGGGGTATATAGTAATTGTCATGTTCGCCTGTCTATACGTCCGTCGTCTGTCTATCCGTCCGTCTGTTACGCTTTAGGGTACCCATCTCTTATCTGCAACTCCTCTCATACCACTGAATGAAATTTGATGAGACTTTCGCAGAATCTTTATTACATATTGCCATTGTGCATCTCTCATTTTACATTTTGATCCGACACATATTTAGGGTTTCCCACAGCAAAACATGGACACTGTCATTATATTCATATGGGGTATTAATTAGTGAGCTCATTGTTCACAGTACCTCTTCTTTATTTGCTTTTTATAGCTGTTTGTAATCCATCATGTAATAATGGAGGAACTTGTGTCAGCCCTAACACGTGCAGATGTCCATCTAACAGAGCAGGACCAACCTGTAATGAACGTAAGTCTTTATATACAATGTACATAAAGTCAGACAAAATCGTGTGAAATTGATACATGTGAATTTTAAGAATTCGATGATTTCCCGCTCAAAGATTTCTCTTGCAATATGAATAATGTGTTTAAAAGCAAGAGGCCCATGGGCCTTATGGGTCACCTGAGCATTATGCAACAACTTTCCAATGATTGAACTTGGTTCATGTGTTCAACCAGGCGCCATGGCATTCATAGTTTTGAAAGAGGCACTTTTACTCATCATAACTATACACTTAGCAATTGCTTAGATTGATTACTTAATGCCCATAAGCAATAGGGGAACAAAATATGCCTTTTAACCTATCAGTATCATTCGGCAGTAACCATCAGTGCCCCTACCACACATAAACCCCTGACCATAGGTTCACACATTTTACAATGTTGGAAAATGCACCCTTACTTATCATAAATGTTTAAATAATACCAAGGAGTACATTTTAAAGCATTGTATATAAGTAGAGTCTCCCTTCATATAGTACCCCAGACCCAGGGGCCTTGAAATTCACAACTCTGGAAGAAGGGCCTTTGCTCATCATAGCTATATACTAGTAGGTAGTTCATCTGCTTAATACTCAGGAGTTGAGTAGAAGAGTGACTTGCAAAGATTTAATGCATTTTCACTATAGTCAATAGAACACCGAAACCCCCGACCCTGGGGCCATTAAAATTTATACGTTTTGAAGACTCTGGGGCAGTTTTGCAATGGGGTTCGTTTATAATAAAATGAAGACAAATACCATGTTGTTGTGGTTGATAAATTTATATTTTATCTCGGTATCATTTATTATCACATCTCTGAAAAATATATATGTAAGCAATCATAAATGTTTTATGATAACAATACATACATATAGATCACTTGCCAGACACGGTCAGAAATCAGAGGTATTACCTTTTAGTTGAAACATTAAGAGTTATTTTTCTTAGTCAATAATACGTACAAAGTATAAACATTGGAATTAATAAAACAACAAGATCAAATTATACTAAACTTTAAAATAATATAATTATATGGACAATATATAAAAATGTTAAAATACAAAAGTTAACATATTCAATTATTTTTAAAAATACTTTTTATAGATAAATGAATGGATTTTTATAAAACAATACTTATTTGGGAAAACAAATTAAAGAGAGATAACTCTAAAACTTTGGCAAAACTTGTGTTTTAAACTATAGAAATCAACGGAAAATATTTTTAAAACGTCTCCCCCCCCCCCCCTTGTCATAAAAATTCCTTTTTACAGATAATTTGCACTTTTTTTTTTTTTTTTTTTTTTTTTTTTTACAAATTCATACCAAAGCTTTCTGTGTGACACGATGGAGGGGGACATGTTTATTGACAAAAGACGACAAAAATTCCGCTTATTTTCCACCAATTCCAAAGCGATTTACAACTGAAACACATGTATTTTATTAATGTATTTATTTTTTATTTATTTGCCTAAAACATAAGAACAGAGATAATGAACATTTAATCATATCCAAAATTATATATTGAATTAAATGGTTGCAAAATGTAGACGAGAATTGAGAATTAGCGTGCGTATTTCTTCCTATCATACTAACGATACTAAAACTTCGTAAAATAACTGCCTCGGCTTGGAAAAAATATTTTATATTATTATAGATTGTTTTTAAATTTAATATTGATCCCGATTTATTTTAATAGCCTTGTGTAATCCTGAGTGTTTGAACGGTGGTACATGTAACCAACAACATAAATGTAACTGTCCGGCTACATACACGGGATCAAGATGCGAAACACGTAAGAACACCTTATTCAAACCATTAGACAAGTTCAATAAAATTTACCACTTTCTCTCTCATTCAAGTACATTTTTTTTCTCTAAGTTTATGTGTTCTTCACTTGTTTGTTTTTTTTTAATAATGTTTAATTTCTTTTCGTATTAAGAGAAATATTACATATTTCAGCTACCTGCAACCCATCATGCAAAAATGGTGGCTCTTGTGTGTCACCAAATACCTGTAGTTGTCCGGCAACCTACACAGGAGGGAGCTGTGAAAATCGTGCGTGTACCTTATTTTCCTTTCAATTTGGGAGATTTTTATTATTTATTTTAAAGTACATTTATATATAATACTGAAAATCTTTTTGCACGCCATAAAAACATATGATATTATGTAGTTATACGGTAAAGGCAAAGTATTATTTACAGTAAACTGTTTTAGATGTATTTCATTTTTTGTCTTAAAAATTTTAAATAAAAATGGATCGATAGACTCGTTGACTTGTTCACATTCGACACATTTTCTTTCGGACAAATTAATATGTAAATTATCAATGATTCTGATTAGTTTCAATCGTACCCTGTTTAAAAAAGTCCTTGAAGAGTTATTTCTTTTTGTAAATCTTGTGGCTTCTCTAAGAAGTACTGTAAGCAACTAGCTAGCTTATTCAAGATTACTTAAACTCAATCGTGATGTATATATAATAATATTATATACAGAGTGGTAAACAAACAAATATCAAATTTAAATTATTTTTTGATAATCAACTTTTTAACCAACTTTTAATTGGGTGTTGCTAAAACGCGGAACGGAAAACGGAACGGAACGGAAAACGGAAAAAAATGTCAAGGAAAGAACCTTGATTCGATATGAATCAGACATAAAATGCAATATTCATGATATAAAGGTCATATTTAATGAAAAATTAACGTAAAATATGATATATTCGTGAATTATGCTCCCCTGATAACATGTACATGCGATGGTCAATAAAATACATACTGTGATATATATGTACTAACTAGTATCCGTAAGTCAAACGTTTCGTTCAAATATTTTTTTTTAAAGAATGCTCATTTATAAACAAATAAACTTGTATTAAAATAGGCGGAAGGAACTAGATATCATTGAGATGGTGGCCATCTCAAAGGGCCCCGCTTTCAACAATGAACATGAAAATGTAAGGTAGTTTAAAAGGGTTTATTTTGAAGAGAAACATTTGTGTACTACAGTGAAAGTAATTTAGTACGACTTCACGGATATTGCAATTTACAGATATATATATATATATATATATATATATATATATATATATATATATATATATATATATATATATATATATATGTTTGTATGTATGTATGTATGTGTGTGTATATATATATATATATATATATATATATATATATATATATATATATATATATATATATATATATATATATATATATATATAAAATTTATCTTGTATCCTCAGTTATATAAATTTACTGGAATTAAGGGGAAGAAACTGTGCACCAAAGAAAGATTTTAAACAGACAGACTAATTCTGACCATGACCTAGAAACTTCGACCAATAAAAGTCACTGCACATCCATTGACCAGTGGCACTTTGTGAGTGAAGTATGAGCCAGATTGGGCCAAGGAGAGAGGAGATATGCTCCGGACAAGGATTTTTCTTACAAGTCTGCTATGACCTTGACCTTTGACGTAGAAACATGGTTCAAGATCACTGCACACCAGGTTACCCAAAGGCATTCTGTGGGTGAAGTATGAGCCAGATTGGGCCAAGGAGAGAGGAGATATGCTCCGGATAAGGATTTTCATACAAGTCTATGACTTTGACCTTTGACCTAGAAACATGGTTCAAGGTCACTGCACATCGGTTACCCAAAGGCACTCTGTGGGTGAAGTACGAGCCAGATTGGGCCAAGGAGAGAGGAGATATGCTCCGGACAAGGATTTTTCATACAAGTCTGCTATGACCTTGACCTTTGACCTAGAAACATAGTTCAAGGTCACTTCACACCGTTTAACCAAAGGTATTCTATGGGTGAAGTATGAGCCAGATTGGGCCAAGGAGAGAGAAGATATGCTCCGGACACGATATCTCGGACGGACGGACGGACAGACTGATCACTATAGGGCGCCCGCCAAGCGGGGCCCTAATAAAGGCTACTAGTATGTATACAGACGTGTATCGGTAAAGACAAAAAAAAACTAGTTTTGACATATACAGATTATGTATACATTGGCGAATCCGGGAATCTCGAAAAGGGAGGGGGTAGTTTGGGTCGGAGTAGGTTCCCTCAGTCACACACATATATATTGGTCACAAAAAGGACGGGGGGGGGGGGTCTAACTCCCCTCTAAATTAATCAGTGGCATATGTTATGCGTTCGAAAATTCAGATATGAATAGCTGGAATATAAGAAAACATTTGCAAAGGAATTTAATAGCATGTTTAACTTTTTCCTTGAATTGCAACTTTGCAGAACTGAGCGGAAAAACAAACTCTAAAATGTTTTACGGGTCATTCACCCCCCCCCCCCCCCTAAAAAAAAGAAAAAAGAAATCACATTTTAACTTCATTAAACGTAAGGACGATATATTAATTTTACTACAGTTAAGATTTACATCTCCATCTATCCAGGATTTTAATTGATAGGAAGCGACTCTAATTTGTATAAAATTTTAACAACCAATTTACAATCGAAATGTTTATCCGGGCTTGCCGGAAAGGGGTGCTCTAATAGTAATCTTAGAATTTTTTTTACGTTTCATTTTTCTTACCAATTACCATGATTCATTAAGATAATTATCGCCCCCCCCCCCTTGTTTTCCAGACATAACCATTATACTATAGAAATGATCATTGAAACCTCCAACACGTTCTGTCTGTTAAATTAAAGTAGTTAGTGAGTGTAAGAAAATAGTACTGAAAGAAATTAGAGCTACGTCATTATTCTGTCAGCGGTTTTCGTAAGTGACATAAAATGACTAATTCAACTTGTATTTATTAAGGAGGGATTAAATATGTATAAAACATATCGTTTCTGAGGAATTTATATATTTTAAATGATTTAATCTCAATATTTTCCGTTTTCCGTTCCGTTCCGTTTTCCGTTCCGCGTTTTAGCAACACCCCTTTCAATTTATAAAAGTCGGTTGTCACGTGTATTTTTCATGTTATACAAGATACCAATGATACTTGATTAGTTATTGCTTGAGAGGTTCAGAGATCTGTTTAAATTATTGGTTTACATGATTTAATTATTGTTTTTTTCTAAAGCACTTTGCGCTCACCACGATCCTTGCTTTCCTGGGGAATGTAGGAACTTGTTACAGTGTACGTGTTTATCTGGTTTTTCTGGCGAGCACGGGCTTGATAGATGTAATAATTGTGAGTGCAACAATTTTTTTCTTTTTGTTTTCAATACGAAAATAAATTATTATGTACTTGAAATACTATCAAACTCTTACTACAAATCATCAATAAAAAAATTGCTTATATACTTCTTATTAAAAAAAAGATGAAAAATATCCACCAAATGGTTAATATTTTAATAATAAATATGCATTTCTCGGAGGAATTACATATATAATTCAATGGTTCTTTGTATGTTCATTAGCAAACTGAGCAGAGTTATGACATTCATATACGTATCACTGAAGGAGATAACGTTGCGAAAAAACAAAATATGTAAAACAATGATGCCGTCGTATGGACATGTACAGCTTATAACGAAGGGCCAAGTTTCTCAACTGCAAGTCAAACTCAAGGGTTAAGAGATCAAAATATTACCGCAAGAAAGGATTGTCTCAAGCATTATACCTGAAAAATTTGAAAGCCCTTGTTACAACCGTTGAAAAATTTTGATTAATAAGAGTTTTTCCATGGAAAGTCAAACTTTAAAGGCTGGTATACACGATGAGATTTGTAGTATAATACAAGTATTATAATACTTTTGTATTATAATACTTTCTTGTACTCACGCTAGTACATATCTCATAAGATTGTAAATAAAAAATGAATTCCAACGTGTTTTCCCCATCATATTTCTCTCTCTGTCAAAATAAGAAAAATGGAGATTGAGGTTCTGAAAACAGTGTCTATCATCGTACTATGTACTGTTTGATATATGACATTAGTTCTCTTCCCATTCCCATAAAACCATGAATTGTTCGATGTCTTTACTTGTATAGTGGGCCATTATAATATTATTTACCATGTGTTTTTTTTAGAAATGATAAAAATAGGATGACCCCTAGTGTCAGTACATTTCATTGGTTGAAAGTGATAGATAAGTTAAGACTTGTATTAGGAAATAGAACACTGCTCTATTCTTAATACAGTTTTATAAGATTCGAAAAATCTTATGATACACTGTATTAAGAGTGTATACACAATAAGATTTTGTATTATAATACAAATCTTATAATACAAATCTTACCGTGTATACCGGCCTTTAGGGGGATGTACAAGCCATGTTGGATCAAGTCTGGTGCAAAATAAGAAATACCAAGAATGCGCTTCATACTCTATTAAACTAGCCCCAAAGTTACTCAAAGTGCTAATGCACTCATTACCTACAGTTAGAGACCAAAATTAGGAAATAATTAAGTTTATTTTAATTAGGAGGAAATTAATCATATTAGAACTGCGCAGCTACAGCATTCACGAGATGAAAAATAATGCATTGAATATGATGTCAGTTCGATTCATTGGTAACATGGCTACAATAATTTGTTTCGCTTTTTTTCTTGTCATTATCCATAATTCTTGAAAATTAGATTTTTCATATGGGGGTCTTCCTGAGGCCATGTGTTTATTTCGTCCGCTATTCCTCTGTCACACAGCGTTCAAATAACATTGATTTTAGAATAAATGCGACCATAAAAACATCAAGACAAGAAATTACTATAAGTAATAATCGTTAGATTATATAACATACTAATCCTTCGGTTATAGCGAGCGTAGCGAGCGGCGCAAAGCGCCGCTCGCGTAGCGAGCTCAATAGACTAACGTGTACGAACAGAGGAAATTCAGGTTGAAATCTGCACATTGTTCCATGCCACGTGAAAAAATTCCAAACTCCCAATAATCCTTTGTGGTGCATAGCAACATGGTGGCTAAAACATAGCAACAACTTACTTGAAAAAAATTACAAACAACGATTTAATGCCATCTCCATGCCATAAAACTATCGTTTGCGTCCTAAGTCAACAGGATTTTTTTATCTGACGTCATACTTTCGTCACTTTTACGGTTCGGGTATTTCCGATTTTGTCGGAAACTTCCGAGAAGTTCGGAATCTCGATCCCGATGCTAAGGAAGTGATTTCTTTTTATTTTGTTTTCTTCTTTTTTTCTGTCTTTTTCTTGAATTATAGGCAGCAGTACATGAGTAGGTTTATGAAAGTACATAACTGCGCTTAGTTAGAATAATCTAACTGTGTCTTGGTACAAGCCCTCACCACAGTTAGAATACGTCCCATATACTTGCAATGTAGCAAATCGGAGCGGATCTGCTCCGAAACGATTTCGAAAAATATAAAACGATTTGCACTGGAAATGACTATCAAATTAATCAAAAAAAACCTTTTTGAGGTTGCATATGCCTTTTATCCCAAAAAATAATCCACAGAAGGACGAAAACCCAATTAATTTTCTTAACGTTTTTCTCTCGCTTCAAATTTACCCGCCATGTTTACATTCGGAACTCTCTAGAGTGTTGGTAGTAAATGTACAGTAAATGTACTAGTACGAGTTATCGCCCGTGTTTCTTTTGCTACATTACGACGAATACACGGAACGAATTTTATCGTTAAACGGGGTCCGTAGGATATTTATCATTTTAACGATAGAACATTCTATCTAAACTGCGCTCGCCCCAACGGTCACACCGTAAAACATATTATAACACTTTTAATTGCTGCATCGCATCGTCTGATTAAAAAAATCGCAATTTCGGGAAAACCTGTTCTGTTTATTGCTCGAATTTCCTCGTTCATATCATTCCACTGAGCACGTGTTTGGCATGTGCATTTATCTGCTGTGGATAGATGCGTTTATTACCATGATTATTTGTAATTTTTCATGGAACAAGTCTTGATAATTTGTTGGTTTCTTTAAAATTCAAGAAAAGAAGAAAAAACATGTCCTTAACATATGTGTTTACGGCGGGTCTCTTTTCTGTGGCGATAGAAATTATTTTCAAATGGGGCTCTGCAAGGGGGATGCTTAGCTTTTAATCTGAAAATGTTAAACAATATGCGGTGCATGAAAAACAAATTGTATTTACATGTATTACATTCGAAAAGTTTGAACATATGTCTATTTTGTTTAGCAGTTAGATAGAAAAAATAGTCAGTTATAGGATTTCCTTCAGGCACCTCAGATAAATAGCTAGATTGTTTGCGATGACCCACACACTGTATGGAGTAATTTTTGGACATGAAAACACATCATGTCTCATTATGCTGACAAAGTTGTAAGCTCTCACTGTTACATACGAAGTTTGATAAAATATATTGAGTTGTTTCTTTGAAATTTAGAAGCGAGCACAATGTTTGCAAAGAAAGGTCTATTGCATAAGCTATGTTTATCTTCGCAAAAAAAGAGTGAGAGGCTACCCCCGCCCCCCCCCCCCCCCCCCCCCCCCCCCCCCCCCGAAAATCCTACGTTTGGTTTTCAGGATAGTGCCAAAGCTTCAGAAATTTTGCATTACTAAGTATGTGATGGAACATGTACTAGCCTTATATTGTTAAAACCACTTTTTATAAATAATATTTCGCTGCCCTCTCCCCCGACCTCCTGCCTAGAAATGGCCCGACTCAATTTTCTTTTACATCCCATTACACGATATTTTCTTTTTCTTCCGTCAACAAATATGTTTAAATTTTTCTGAAAAATTTTTTCTCACCTATAAATACGGACCCAATTTCCCTGAGTTGGGAGGACCACCAAACGTCATTTTAAAGATGGTCTAAAATATCTAATTATGTTGATTTTTTCTCTACACTGTAAATTGTAATTTTGACAATAGGGGGAAATAGAAAAAAATTATTCAGTAAATCTCCTAACCAACTCTGAATAATTTCATTTCTTTTCATATGGTGCTCCGATGTGATGAAAATTGTTAATTAATGTTTATTTGACACAGTATACTAGTAGGTACTAAACAAGGTCATTCATATTGATTTTATGTGTCTAATTTTCTTTGTGTTTCATTGGTGATAATTAAGATTTTGATAGATAAAATAAGTTATCTGTGACAAACTTGTAAACTCTTAACTTTTAACTTTGATGGTGCTCATTTTTCCTTACTTGGAATCAAAAAGTTTATGATTTTTTTTTTATATCAATACGTACACTATTTAACAACTGTTCGATAATAACACTAATTACTTTAAGCCACACTATAACACAATTCCTCTTTTAAAGGTGTTCATATTATTTGAAACATTTTGCAACTGTAATTCTCTTCTACTTTTTAAGATAATTATGTACCTCCATACTAAGAAAAGGTCTGGAAAACAAAATTCTGTGCTAAAAATAGACCACGTGCTGCTATCCATGAACTACTTTCATGGTTCTTTACATTCATTTTGAAGATAACGGTACCTTGTTTTGAACTTGAAATTACCATTTAAAAGTGCAAAATTTAGACATTTTCTCAACAAATGATTGTAGAGAGAACATTAATGCACACATTGCTTTTTTTATTGATTTGTTAAGGTTCTGCTGAATTCTGTAGCTGGGCAGTTCTAAGGAGCATATCAAAAGCATTTTTCTGCAAAAGTGTAGATTATATATGCACAACATGCATTCAGTTATGCATATTTATTGTATCTTTATCATAAGGACTTAAAATTTGATCGAAATATATAATGTATTTTAGCCATTTGAAGAAATATTTACATGTTGTTCTTACTGCACTAAAGGTGACCGGACATCCCCCTTAAGGTCAAAGGAACTGGGAGTGTTGCTATTTAAGACGAAACGGAAATTTTTTTAAAATTTCAGATTAACTTACTTAAAATACACAACTAAAATAAGATACGATAAAAATAGCATATAGACTTTCTATATTTATTCTTCAATGATTCATTCATTGATTATTGTTTAACGTTCCTCTCGAGAATTGTTCACTCATATTGAGACGCCACGACATGCCGGTGGAAAGCTGCAAATTTTGTCATATGCTTGATAAGAATATGGAAGTTATACATTTATAATTTATCATACAATAGATAAATGTAAGTTTTGCCAAGTATCTTGTCATTTAGATGTTAACGTTGACAGAGGTGTTGTAGCGAAGCGTATAAGCTCTCTGGTGAGAGATTGGCCCAGGAGAAGGTCCTGTCAAAAATACACATTTAAAAATGAAAACCGTAGTACCAACCATTTAAGAGTTTTGGACATGGTTTAATGCTTTTAAACTTTAGGTCAAACTCAAAGGACAAACCTTTTGAAAACTCAAGGTTTCGTTGCATGAAATACACTTGTGAAATATAACAGCCCTAGCGGCAGTAGCGGGTCATATTTCAAGGTCAAATACTCCTAAGATATATTAAAGCCATAACACCAACCATCAATATCTGTTGGTTTTGCGGATTAGATAGACAAACATACTTCAAAGGACCGTTTCTTTATTCTTTCTAATCAAAATACATGTAGTTCTAAAAATTAATAAACAAAATAGTTTTTAATTCGACCATTCCATTGTCATCTTTCTGCTTTTACATAGCTAGGAAACAGGAAAGGTGGTCGGGCGTCCCCCCCCCCCCCCCAATAATTTTCCGAGATATACCGGTAGTATGATATATATGGAGATAACGAACGAAGATCAAAAGTCCATAAAACAATACAAAATAGGGTCAGAGCAAACAAGGACCCCCAAAACATCAGAGGTGGGATTAGGTGCCATGAAGGAGTGAGCATCCCCGGCCGACTGGCCACCCACCGTGTGCTCCTTGTCATGATCGGGGAATAACGGAAAATCCGTCGTCAATTCAGTGTATGAATAATGGACGAACAATAACATGTAGTATGAAACACGTTAGTAAACTTTTGACTCAATGATAAATTGTATCTGCTGAAAATGTCATTGTATCGACCATAAAACTTACGAACAGATAATTTTTAAACGAAGCTTCTGAAGAAAAATTGGCTACTTGATGCTCGTGCCCCCTCAATAAAACGTATAATGGCCTTCTTTTCTTTGTCAAGAATTTAGTAGTAGTAGAGAGTGCACTCAACTAAAATATACGGCTGTGCTCCCCCTTACTGTAAATGCTTCCTAAGGGCCTGTTTTGGTGCAGCAGTATACTGTTGTCAACTGTAAATATACTCACCGTCAATAGAAACGCAACACCCTAATTTTAGGTTGAAAATTAAAAACAGGTTATAACTATGTACCAAAAAAGTTAGGACATCTTTTACTTTGTCAAATCAGTTTTTTTTCTTGCGGTTGAATGAATTTCTTTCCATTACCGGAAGTTGCTTTTTAGCCCTCTTAACAGAATTCATAATTTACCATTTTTGAAAAAATTTTAACAATATTTTTGGTTTCCAAGAATATGAAACTGTTAATCAAAAGTATTGTACTAAAAGGCCGGGAAGAAATCCTTCTTTCTTTACCGGATGTAATGCCTATATTTCCTCAAAATGACTGATAGCAAGAAGGGGGGATGTTTAAAGAGTTATGTGTTACCTTCTAAAGTTTAATGATAAAATTAAAAATGAATATATTTAGGTAAAAAGTAAATTTACAAAAAATTAATGCTCTATTTAAACATTAAATGTTATTTTTAGACCTTAGAAAGAAACAAATACCCGGTAAATCGTAAAGCATCCCCCCTTCCGACCATTTAATGAAAACGTGCTAGTCTGCCATATACAACAAATGCAGCCCGATTTCTACCATGCATTAAGTTTATTAATGTCTTAATCTGAGCGAAATTAATATTCTTGGGCATTTTTAAGTTTTTCAGATATTGGGGTCGAATTTTCTCTAGCCTGGCGTAGTGTAGCAACTTTTTGATTTCCGGTCACGAAACTGTAATTTATGCTATTGAAACACATGAGCCTAATGAGTGGTTATATAGTGTACATTTGTATCTGCAGCTCTTTTTTTCTTTATTTTGAGAATTTCTAGCATTAGCAATGAAAATCAGTCATTTTGAGGAAATATAGGCATCACATCCGGTAAAGAAAGAAGGATTTCTTCCCGGCCTTTTAGTACAATACTTATGATTAACAGTTTCAAAACCTTGGAAACCCAAAATATTGTTTTTTATTAAAAATGGAAAATTATGAATTTTGTTAAGAGGACTAAAAAGCAACTTCCGGTAATGGAAAGAAATTCATTCAACTGTGAAATAACTGATTTGGCAAAAGTAAAAGATGTCCTAACTTTTTTGGTACATAGTTATAACCTGTATATAATTTTCAACCTAAAATTAGGGTGTTGCGTTTCTATTGACGGTGAGTATAGTAATTGAAATGTCCTATCGAAACATTGTCTATTTACTTAACAATTGTCATTTTTATTTACCTGTAGTTGAAGCCGACAATACAGCTATCATAACCAAGTGTTCAGCATTTCTAGCAAACATTGAAAGAACCGGTAAAAAACGTGAGATGTATCGATTCATGACGGACTCTTCTGAGCCTAATTCTACGGAGGTAGACATGCTTTGGCTGAGCCAAAAAAACTATAATTATATAAATGCTGATTTCAGTGCGATCTATGTTCAACCTGATATCACGACCCAGCCAGATTACATAGAGGAATTTAAGTTTGGAATTATCGGTGGATGGTTGCAGTTGGATCTGACTAAAGTTCCCCGGAGTAAGTGAACATTTTTTGGGATCATCATTTTTAGCCGGGCTCATTGCTCGTAGAGCAATACCCGGTTTTTGCGACGGTGTTCAACCGGAAATGCTGCTTCATCACCGCCAAATTAAATTTACGAGTTAGAATATAGTACGTTTGCGCAAACAGCTTTGAGGCAATACAAACACTGAATTAAACTTTCAAAGTTATCTGAAATTGTCAAAAAATAATTATAATAAAATACTTTCTATCGTCTTCGACGATTAATTATTTGCTTAAAATATGGGAAAGGTTTTCATCAGGAATCCCTGTCTGCGTCATATTCTATAAATAAATGTTGTACTATCAGGCTAACACAATCTTGATACAAAACTCCCCGCTGAGGATGGTTCATTCTACCTATTCCCACTTTTTGAAAATCATGTAGAAAAAGGTAAGATTTTACGTGGGAATAGGTGGAATTTTGTGTAAAGAAATAATTAACTTTGTTCTTTAATTAAGGTATTTAGCTGCTTTTTCTTGTAAGATCTTTTTATTATTTCAAAAATCCGAAATAAATCATATTTTCTCATAGATTTATTCAATATTTTCGGTCTTAAAATGTACAAAATACAGGTAAATCTAAACATCTATTGTTATTTGCAAGTGGGAATAGGTGGAATTGAGATTTTTAAAAAGTGGGAATTGCTAGAAGACACCCTGAGGACACATCTGTGCATAATCGTTTGACCTTAAAAAATCTTGCTGTATCAGTGTTTATTTACTTCTATTGGTATATAAAACCCCGTAACGATACATGTGACAAATATTTTACGCTGCTAAATTCTAGCTACATTTTGATTTATTTTAAAAACTTTTTAATGCTATATATGACATAGAGATATATAATTTTCTTCTCAATGTCTGAATTGGCTTGTTTTTAAACTGTCATCGCAGTCTTTGTTCATTACCCTGTAAATGAGCCCGGCTTTCAGTACTTCTGAGTATTTTGATTTATTTCTAACATGTGCGATTTTTGATACTACCCCTGCTTTTGTAGATACGTCAGGCAAAGCATTTGTCAGCTTAAATAGCACAACTTATCCATGCAGTAATCAGCCAGGATCCTTGAATCCAGAAACATCGGTCTATTCCTGCAACGTTACACACTTCGACTTTGACAGACTTCTAGAGGACGGCGATAAGTATAATTTTACTGTTTTTCACCGACTTTATTTTTAAGGTTCAGAGAGTCAAGAACAATGGATTTAATTATTATGAAATCAATGTTCTATTTTACGAATTTTAAATAATGGCCTAAATTCTAGATGTTTTGGTAGAACCTGTGCTTCATCTAAGTCATTTAACCTAATCTAATTTATTAAGACTAACGTTACCCTCGTAAAAGCGGGTGTGCTAGAGTGGCGAAAGTAAGTTGTTAATTCTTGCGTCGCGGGCTCGAATACGAGACCTGCACATGAAAAATCTTATCGAAGATTCTATGACTGCGAGAAAGTAAAAATAATAACTCAAATTACATGCATAAAAATCAACTCTAATAAAACATAATCGTTCCATGTCTTATCATTTTGTAGTTTAACAGTAACAGTCATTGCCCTTAATGGGGGATATCGGAAACTGAAAACATCACGAACTTCAACGAACGCAACGTATTTTGTTGGTCGCAATTCTAGTAAGTCGATGATGTACCGTTTCGACTTTCGAAAGCCGCATCACTGTATCTTGGATACTCAACTGTCTTGTTCCTCAAAACCGTTCATGGTACATGAAGATATCACTAAGGTAAGAATGTGTTGGGTTTTTATACTGTTTTACCCTTGTGTGTTTTACTTGAAAATGACGTTAACGGTAATTTAACAACCAAGCTTTATGACCAACGAGATGACTTTAGCTTTTCAATTACCCCTTACTTATGCAGCAATATACCTTCATCACCTGCATACTGGGTTTATATCTCTCAGTTGATTTGATACGCAAGAGCATGCTCTGCGTATGAACAATTTTGAAAACAAGACAAGGTATCGGCAAACAAGCTGCAGAAACAACAAAGTCATCATTTCGTAAGACTAAGTTATATGGTCGATACCTTGACTTTGTCAGCAAATACAAGTTATCATTGAGTCAAATGCTGACTAATTATTTTATACTTATTGTTAGGCCGTTATTTACACAATGAATTGACGACGGTTTTTTCCGTTATTTCCCAATCATGACAAGGAGCACAAGGTAGATGTGGCCTATCAACGGGGGATGTTCACCCCCCATCCCCCAATGACACCAGATCCCATCTCTGATGTTTGGAGGCCGGTGTTTCCTCTGCTTCTATTTAGAATTCTTTAATGAACATTTGAGCTTGAATACTGTTTGTTATCTCCATATATTTCATTTCATCAAAGTAATGGTGGAACATGACGTAGATCTTCAATCTTATGCTTAATTCAAATGTAGGATATAAATGGAAAAAAATAAAAGCATTATTTATGGTTTTGTCAGAATCCGATTCGATTTTCATGGGACGGATGGGAAGATGTACTCTCTGGAATTGGAAAGTACACTATTCAAGAATTTCTACTGCAACCAAACCAGAATGTGAATCCAAGTTTAACAGAACCAGATCCTTGGAGTCCAACCAAGACATTTACTTTCAACACAACCGTACGAACGTTTTCCTACACCCCAAGCCAGCCTGGAATGTACTCATTTATACTAAATGTCGTAGACAGAGCTAATAACTCTGAATATGCACGGACCCTTGTCCTTTATGACAACACTTCATCAATCACAACGGACGAGGCTTTTCCAATTATTTCAACAAGTGCTGTAAAGGAGACGAATTATCAGTGGCAAAATAACTTGACGAATGATATAACAATATCATGGAAGGGACATTTTAGAAACGTTTTACATGAAAATGAAAAATTTTTGATTCCCGTGACGGATTATAGTCATTTTGATCATGATAAAAAGTTTGAAAAACTTGTTCTTTCTAAATTAGACGATAATGATGGCAACAGAACATTAAATGCTATAAGAAACATTCACGGAATCGTCAAATTTGAATACGACTTTGGTAATGCAAATCAAGGAAGTCAGGCACCAACAAACTGGCAACCTATTAATGACTTAACTGAAACCGTAACGTTCTTTATTCCTAGACGTAACGGAGACACCTTAAACGTCTGGATCAAAGCCACGGACGTTTTAGGAAATAAGGAAGTCGATTTAATGCATGTTTATTTCGATGAAACCCCACCAGCAAATCTTACAACTGGTGATGTTAGGTTCATACCAAATCTGAAGAATTCAACATTTCCTTTTACAAGTCGGTAGGGTTAAGCTTATCTTCCTTTCACATTTCATGAAGTCATTCATCTAGATAATAAACCTATATACATGTATACATGATTTTTATTGATTTGCAGATTACTCGTTAATACACATGACAAGAATAGTGGAATACACAAAATTGACTGGGCATTTTTGTCTAATCAAACTGGGGATCTTTTCAAATCTGGTTCTATACCTGGAAACAAAACAAATGTAAGACATTAAGAAGATAGCATGTTATAATTTGGAATACTTGTAAGTGTAGAGTAGTATTTCAAGAAGCTTTATATATGTGTAAGTGTGAAATAGTATTTCAAGAAGATTTATATATGTGTAAGTGTAAAATAGTATTTTAAGAAGATTTATATATTTTTTTTTATTCCAGGGTGATCTTAATTAAAGTATTGTCACATTCTCTGAAATCTTTGACTTAACATTTCTTACTTAATATAAAAATACTTTTATAAACATAAAGATATACATAGAGTAAGGTTTTAACTTACAAATATTTAAATTTCTAAACTCAGTCAGGCGACCTAATGCTATCAGTTGACGTCCTTCGTCCATCGTGTGTTTTAAAACATTTGAACATTTTCAGCTTCTTCTCTGCAACCTATGAACCAATTTCAACCAAATTTTATATAAAGCATCGATGGGGAAACGGGATCAAAAATTGTGAATTTCATGGTCCCTGCCCTCCTGGGGCCTTGGGGTGGGGCCAAAACCTCTAAAATTAATGCAATCTATAAAAATCTTCTTTACTCCTGGAAACCAAGCAGTCAAACTGTAGGCATACAATTGTAATCATCATTGAGTCCTCGACGTAAATTGTGAAATTCATGGCTCCAAGGTCAGGGATTCTAGTGCTAGATGGTCTACATAGATACATAGCGAAAATGCATTATTTCTTTGAAAATCTTTCTTCTCTGCTTCTGGGTATTAAATAAACTAACCAAGTACATAGTTAAGGTAAGCAAGAACGTCTCTTCCAAAATTGTGAATAACATAGCCCCAGGGTCAGGGGTTCTGGTGTTGGGGCGGGGTTCTATTAATTAAATAGTGAATGTGTATTTTTTCTTTGAAAATCTTCTTCTTTTGGGTATCAACAAACTAACCAAGTACATAGTTATAATGAGCGAGAATGTGTCTTCCAAAATTGTGAATTTCATGGGCCCTGGTGTTAGGGCGGGGCTCCATTGACTATATACTGAATACATTAATTCTTTAAAATTCTTCTCTGCTCCTGGGTATTAAACCAATGAACTATGTACATAGTTATGATGAGGAAGGATGACTCTTACAAATTTGTGAATTTCATGGCCCCAGGGCCAGGGGTTTTGGTGCTAGGGTGGGGCTCAATTAATTATATTATATAGTGAATGTGCATGAATTCTTTAAAAATTTTCTCCTTTGCTCCTGGATACTAGTATTTTACCAATGAACTATACAAAGTTGTGATGAGGAAGGATGTCTCTTCCAAATAGTGAATTTAAGGGCTCCTGGGTCAGGGGTTCAGGTGTTAGGGCGGGCTTTTATTGATTCTATAGTGAAAATGCATGAATTTTTAGCTCACCTGAGCCGAAGGCTCAAGTGAGCTTTTCTGATCACATTTTGTCCGGCGTCTGTCTGTCTGTCCGTCTGTAAACTTTTCACATTTTCGACTTCTTGTCAAGAACCGCTGGGCCAATTTCAAGGAAACTTGACACAAAGCATCCTTGGTTGAAGGGGATTCAAGTTTGTTCAAATGAAGGGCCACGCCCTCATTCAAGGGGAGATAATTGGGAATTAATGAAAATTTGGTGGTATGTTTTAAAAATCTTCTTCTCAAGAACCACTAAGCCTAGAAAAATGAAACTTATAGGGAAACATCCTCAGGTAGTGTAGATGTAAGTTTGTTCAAATCATGACCCCGAGGGGTAGGGCGGGGCCACAATGGCCGACCAAAGTTTTACATAGAAACATATAGGAAAATTCTTTTAAAATCTTCTTCTCAAGAATACCAAAGCCATAATTGATCATACTTATAAAGAAGCATCCTCAGGTAGTGTAGATTCAAGTTTGTTCAAGTCATGACCTCCGTGGGTAGGGCGGGGCCATAATAAGTAACAACAATAAAGTTTTACATAGAAAGATGTAGGAAAATTCTTTATAAATGTTCTTCTCAAAAATAACAAAGCCATAATTGTTGATATTTATATGGAAGAATATTCAGGAGTTTAGATTATATTTATATGGAAGCATCCTCAGGTAGTGTAGATTCAAGTTTGTTCAAATCATGACCTCCGTGGGTAGGGCGGGGCCATAATGGCCGACCAAAGTTTTACATAGAAAGATGTAGGAAAATTCTTTATAAATGTTCTTCTCAAAAATAACAAAGCCATAATTGTTGATATTTATATGGAAGAATATTCAGGAGGTTAGATTATATTTATATGGAAGCATCCTCAGGTAGTGTAGATGCAAGTTTGTTCAAATCATGACCCCTAGGGCTAGGGCGGGGCCACAATGTCCGACCAAAGTTTTACATAGAAACATATAGGAAAATTCTATAAAAATCTTCTTCTCAAGAATACTAAAGCCATAATTGATCATACTTATAAGGAAGTATCCTCAGGTAGTGTAGATTTAAGTTTGTTCAAATCATGACCCCAGTGGGTAGGGCGGGGCCATAATGGCCGACCAAAGTTTTACATAGAAAGATATAGAAATTTTTTTAAAAAATCTTCATCTCAAGAATAGCAAAGCCATAACTGATCATATTTATAAGGAAGCATCCTCAGGTTGTGTAGATTCAAGTTTGTTCATAATGGCCAATCAAAGTTTTACATAGACATATATAGGAAAATTCTTTAAAAATCTTCTCAAGAATAGCAAAGCCATGATTGGTCACGGGACTACTTTTGGATTTAAACTTTTCAATGATAAACCAATTTCTACTTTTTCCTAGCCACAGTGCTCAGGTGAGCGATGTGGCCCATGGGCCTCTTGTTTAAAATTCTTTTTTCTTTGCTCCTGGCTATTTTGCCAATGATCTAAGTACATATTTATGATGAAGAAATGTGCCTCTTTCAAAATAGTTAATTTCAGGACCCGTGTGGTGGTGGTGGTGGTGGTGGTGGGGGGGTAGTGCGTTATACATTTATCCATTGGCTGTGAGTGGGATAGCTATTTTATCAAACCCTTGACAGGAACTATTCCCCTCGGCTGTGAGTGGGATAGCTCTTTTATCAAACCCGTGACAGGAACTACTCCCCGAGGGCTTTCCCGAGGGGAATAGTTCCTGTCAAGGGTTTGATAAAAGAGCTATCACACTCACAGCCAGTGGATAAGCGTTTTATTATACTGATGTACTTTGTTTTGTAGTAATATTTTAATTGAAAAAAAGCAAAATGTCAATTTCAAGTAACATTTAATTAAAATAAAAAAAAACAACAAATTAATTGTAAACAGTTAAATCAAATGACGTTAACATCATAAAATTTACTAGGTATAATTAACTCAACATTATTCAGGAATCATGATACAGTAACATCGATCAACACCATTTTTTCTGCAGCTGACTTTAGAAGGGAGTTTACTGTTTATTTGTGTAAATGTTAATGTTGACAGAAGAATTGTGTATGTTGACCCCACATTCAGTGTTTTTTGCAGAGGATGCTGATGGAGCGCTTTGTACACTTTTAACATTGTGTAGTTCAAAGTTTTCTAATCCTGCGAAAAATGTGTCGACATCAAATTCATCTAAGAAATCGATCTGATTCTCCTGTACACCAGACTCACTGCAAGCTGCGGCATTAGAATTTTCATGTGAATTTTTAGAACTTTCGCAAAGTATTTTGGAAATTTCAAACTGTTTCTGGTCACTCAACCTCGTAGAGTACGACATAATACTAGATATATTTTTGTGACCAGATATTCCAACTATATGTCTTGCCTCAATTCCCTGCCTGTCAAGATTTGTTATACACGTTGCTCGAATACAGTGATTGGTATATATTGTAGATAGTTCAGCACTCTTACTAATAGTGGACATCAACGCTGCAAGTGTATTTTTTCCAAGGGGAATATTGTCGAACCAAACTGACTGCGTTTCTGATACGGACGGTTTAGGGCGCTGCCATAGATTTGGGTTATCAGGATTCAACTTCACTGTCATGAGTTCTTTTTAGATTTTGCAGGGTTGAGAAGGAAAACAATATCAGTCAGAAATAACAAATAAGTTTATTAACACAATAAGAAAAAATAATTACATTCAATAACACTCACTCACTCTCACATACCAGCTCACACACCGGAAATGCAATAGATATGAACTGTTAACTCAGTTTTAACCAAATCTGATACTTTACATAATAACGTTTAATATTATAAGCAACACAGTTGATTCAAATAGTATCAGATCTTATATCAAATAATAATTCACCGGATTTTGTCTTTAAAAATTGATATTTAGAAAAAGCTCAATTGACTTCCAAAAGGAATAAAATATATATTCAAAACTTGAACTTGTTTTGCTATTTACTACTGAAAGTTACTCAGAGTTCACAAAATTCACAAATTGAGGTTAGCGAAGAGTCCTAGAAAATGCACCACTGCGCTCTCGCCATACAAGTACGTCTACGTCACACCAAGTTCCGTGGTCCACAAAATGGTAGTTCCTAAACCGCAGAGCCCCGGGTCTTAGCCTCCCGCTCCGGTTACCCTACCACGCCCTTAACAGTGTCGACATCGGATATGACGCACGTGGCCCTCCATACAACACTCGTCAATAAGCCTCAAACCTCTAGCGCTCGTCAATAGACCCTCAGGACGTCCAATAAGCTGTTAATTGCCTCCAAGCCCTTACGCACGGCAAGAACTGCACAAACACGCTGCATTAATCCTCCTGGCAAGTTATATGGCTACCCGTTAACATTCGTCACCGAAAATATTCGCCATTTGTATAAGTCATGCCGGGGAAACTGCAAATGTGGCACACCTCCGGTTGGTCACACTACCGGACACCAGACAAGCTCTCTCCAAACTAACAAAACCGGTCCCCTTATATACTAGTGACTAAACAGTCTCAAAAGTATGGAAACGCGTTTGAACAAAATTAAAATAATATATACAGAAAATAAAACAACCTCTTCACATTCACAATATACTTCATGAAACTATTCACAGGGCAACGGGGATTTCCTGTTAAAAAATAAACATATTTAAATTTGCATGTATAAATATTTAAATAATTTTTTTCCTCCGGTTATTAAAAAGATAGAAATTGACAAGTATACAAACCTGGCATTTCATACATCCGGGCC